TTTTGCACTCATTGAGGAACAAAAATATTAAAACAACGAAACAAGATGAAAATGACAGGAAAAGAAAAAAAAAAGAGCTTCTGTGCAGTCATTTTGCCTCTCCATGCTGCTATAAAGAAATCTAAAAAACCTTTAGTTAAAGGTTGACCAACATAGGGTAAAATTCCTGTTCTCAATTTGAAGATGTAAATTAGCAAGCACTTGCAACACGGACTGGTTTAGCTGGGGTGCCTTCAACATCAGGAACATCAGCAACTGATCCATTTTCTTCTAAAGGTTTCACCTCTCCATTCTCCTTAACTTTCTCTGCCGTTGTTGCAACAGTAGACTCTTCTATCAAAGCTGCGTCAAGAGATCTTTTCAAAACATCCTTATCTATTGCTGCTTTGTCACTGTTACCCGTTACTACATTGCTAGGCTGCCCCAAAACCTGTTTTCAGAGCCATGGAAACTTTATCAGCTCATGCAAACCGCCTACAAGATTCCATAACCCTATTTTATGCAAGCTATACTCTTCAATATGCCTTCCTATGTCGCCAAGTCCTTTTTGTGTGGCAAATGAAAATGCATTACTCCTCAGAACTAAGAAATAATAAACATCACAAAAGAGCATCCAAGGTAGAGAGAGCCTCAGAACCACAGCCCTTAAAAATGCAGTTAATGTGAGGGAGGGTAAGGGTGATATACCTGTTTTTGTGATAGTTGATGCTTAGCCTTCTTATCTCGCATTATCTTCTGGCGAGACTCATAGAACTCAAAATCATCAAGGATACATGTTTTACTTGAATGACCCTTAAAAATCTTGAGAATTTGAATTCCCTGCTCAAAATTAACCTACAGCACCAAGCACCAATTTACAATTAAGATAATCCATGAGGCAGAGTGAAAGAAAAACATGGAATAAATTTTAGATTTTGAGAGCCCATCTCAAAGTTAATCAACAATAGCCAGCAACAAATAAAAAAGGTGTAGTATCAAGGGAACCACCAAAAAATAGAATAAAAAGAAAGAAGAAGAACAAGAATAATTACCTCCTGAGTGTCCCTACTATTTGTGACAGGCTTGTTCTCATTGTTCTCTAGTGTTATATGCCTCAATAAACTATTTGGCACATCCTTAATGATATGCCATTTCACAGGGAAGCAACCAAGCCACTTATCTTGTTGCCAATACTCTAAGGTTTTGTCAAAATCAACTGGTCCCACCATCTCTGCTAAACCAACAAATTGTCCACTGCTATTAACCTGGAGAAAATAAATGAAAACCCCAATAAATAAAATCTATCTGTGGAATAGCTAAATCAAGAGAGTAGATGGTGGTATTCAATTACTCATACTCACCGAAAATAAAAGAAAAACGGGACAACCATCAGGCTTCTCCTTGGCCTCATGATATGCTGCATCCAGTTTCTTATTGCCATTAGATGTACTAGCCCAGACACCATATTTGATGCTTTTATGGACATCATCCTCGCTATAGGATTTAATGACAAAAAACTTCACATCCAAATAACTCTCAGGAAAATCCTCTTTATTGTACTGCTCCATATCTGGAATAGGAGACAAGTTATTCTCCTTATTGTTCTCACTCAAAGGGCCATTATGCCCTTTTACAGCTGCTGTTACAGGTTCAAAACCAGTCTGATTCTTATAACCTGTAACTCTGGGCCCTCTGTTCATCTCATTTAGGCCATCAATATTCTCTTTGCCATAACCTCGGCCCTTTGGTTTACTATTGTTACCAACAGGATACCACCAGAGTCCCTTTTTCCAAGAATCATACCCATAAGATTCCAAACCAGAATTGACTCCAACGGTATTTCCAAAATTACCATAAGTCATGTTATTGGGATAGATGTGATTCATGAATCCATATGCTTGGCTCAAGCCAGACGTGCTTCCGTTCTGCAAGTTCTGTGTTCAGACCATTAAAGCATCAAAGTATTGATTCCTTAAAGCAGAAAAGTATGGTAAGATGAGAAAACCTCCATAACTGAGTCTCTCTCTTGTATGTGTATGTGTGTGTGTGTGTGTGTGTGTGTGAGTGCATGCATAATATTTTACATTAGTAATACCTTTCAGTTTCTTCATAATTTTAGATTACAGTGCAACATACCACATACTGAGGATAGAGGTGAAGGTTCTGATTCCTCCCAGCCATACTGTTGCTGCTGTACGAAGAGAACCCAGCACTCACTGCATGTTTTGACTGCCCGCTAGAAGATATTGAGTTATCAAACCAAGGCATTGTGAACAGATTTCCGTCATAGCTAAATCTTGGATCCTGGAAAGTTGGTGAAGGATTACGAGCTGGCAAACTTCCCCTTCTATAGGAACCATTTTGATTTAGCGATGGATTTTGGAAAGTTGGATGATATTGCCTTGGCCCATGACTTCCACTCATACCTCCAGCATTTGCTACAGTGCCAGGGTTTCTTTTACTGGCTTCAACAGATAAAGATCCTTGATCTGCACTTGAAGTTGAAACCTCCACTTGTGAAGCAATAGCATTAGGATCAGGATTACTAGTTTGTGCAGGCAGTTGGTAAAAACTACCTGGATAGTGGTACTCTTGCAACATTTGTGGCTGACCATCTTGTCCCATTGCAGAAAGGGGTGATTTTGATGCAGGATCAGTTCCATATTGCATATAATGATAACCCTGCTGCATAAAAGAGCCACTGCTGCGATAAACATCTTGTGAAAAAACAATACTCAATCAAATGCAATATGGAGCACGAGCAACTAAATTATCTCTACTGCTCAAAGCCGAAAAGTAGTGGTAACACCTAAGGTATGACTTCTCATCTGAAGTCTAAACTTCCAAATGTAAGGAAGTAAATTATTTCAGACCTTATACAAACTCCAAAAATCAATAATGAGTCTCTAAGTATGTCCAAAAATGAATCAGCTTTCTCCTTAAATCAACAGTAAGTCTTCCCATTCCAACCCTTTCTGACTGTGGTTTCCAATGAATATAGCCCTAGCCACTAGTTGAAGATAACTTTAATCTAGTTTTAACCACTTAACCAAAGAAGCTTTTCAGAAATAAGAGAAGCATACGAAGGTTAGAACTCATAAGTAAAGAACTTTCAAATACCATGCTACTTTTACCAACTCTTCTTACCATTACAATTCACACAGAAGACCTTCCTTATCACTTATTCAAACTTCTTACATGATGGAATGAGTAAGAAATAGAATTGACATAAGTCATAGAGGATCCGTCAATATTTAACCCATCCAACTTACCATCCAACCCATCATAAACCAAGAAGAATACACATGTAGGACCAGCCTGTCACTCCTCACATATTAAAAGAAAGATCAGTACATAAATATCCTGATTAGTCATTAATCTCTGTCAGAAAAAAGTCATTAATCTTGTCAAATCGATGTATTCTCTTCGCCACTTATCTCTAAAGTAACACAGAGTTGACCTGGTTACCATCAGACTAATTTCATCCAAGTGAATAAGGGATGGGGACATTGACTCAACTGTACAAGTATCCAAGTTCAAAATGCATAGAAAAACAAACCATCCAAAAGAATCAACCAACCAATAATAAGACTGCAAAAATAAAATGTATTTGTGAATTACCTCCTTCACTGCCCCTGTCACATTGGTGTTCTTGGTCTGTGAATCTAGTGACAACTTTTCTAATGAATTTGAAACTTCTGTGATAACAAGAGTAAAGGGATACAAGTTTATAAACAGAGCTTCAAGACATCAACCATTGAAAAACCTAATAGCATAGAAAAAATACACAAAGTTCTGCATCCGACAATTCAGAGATTCAGCATCATTCAAATTTAAACACCAAAAACCATTAGACCAACCACAGCTACAAATGATTAACTTTGAATTTAGACAATTAATCATCAAACAGGAAACAAAAAAGAAAAAGGAGAAAACTTTAAATCTGCAGGCAATCCTAATAAAACCCCGAAACAAGATCACTTACCCATAAACGATTTATTCCTCAAAAAAAAAAAAAAATCACTGAATTAAACACACTAAATAACTAGAAAACCTTGAAGAGATGAAGAAATGTTCATGAAGATATGCAGTTCAGTGTGTATGTGCAGGTGAATGCAAAGGAAAAAAGCCCAGATGAGCTAAGCAAGCAGGGATACGATCCGAGGCTGAAGCAACAGTCGCCATGGTCAAAGATGCAAATTCGGTGAGAGAGGAGGAGACGGCAGTAGAAACCCTAGAGTTAGAAGAGCTGAATGTTTTAGAAAGGGCAGCCCGCAGCCGCCAAAACCCAAGAGTTGGGGTTTAAGAGACCAGACATCCAATTATTTATCTCTAGAAGATTTTATTTCTTTCTTCTTTTTCTTTTTTCTAAAATATGAACAAAACTGGAAACTTGAATCAAATTTGTCCAGCAGGTCGCTCCAAAATAGGAATTTTTTTTGGTTTACAAAAATATGTTTTATGTTGGGCATTTAAAAAACAAAAAACAAAAAGAGAAAGGCCTTTAGGTTCATTGGCCAAATCTCCAAATGTAAAAAGTTTTTTTTTTCACCTATTGACAAGAATTTGGATCCATTCTCCACCTATTTTCTGTACAGGTTGAACTATTTGTCTACTCCTATAGAGAGAGAGAGGGAAAAAAAAAGGAGCAAATATGTAGGCCTAGGTTAAGAGACTTTGGGTTTGCATGAACCAACATAACTCACTTTTTTTTAATAGATTATGTTTAGTGTGGTTGTAGTTTTTTATTTTTAGTTTTAATTTTTTTGTAATTTTGTACTTAAAATCAAAATTGAAAATTTAAAACCAATAATTTATTTAAAATAAGTTTTAACACTAATTACTAAAAATATGAATTTTTTTAACAATTTTGAAACGGTCTTTTTTTTTTGAATTGTAGAATGGAAGAAAATCATCTTTTATCTCATAATACAAGTTACCTGCATGTTATACAATTCAAACTCATGATCTTTTACTTTCAATTGAAAAATATTATCTTAAAATTATGTCGTTTTAATAAACTATTTGTTTTGATCCTTTCTATAATACTTTATTAAAATAATGTAGTTTTTTTTTTATATATTTTGCTTATAATTTTTTTTAGAAGGCTAACTTATATTGGTAAATGTGTTTATAAATCAAAATTTTTTAAAAAAGTAAGAGGAAAATTTATCAAAAATTAAGTAATTTTAATAAACTCTTATTAAAAGAAAATATTTGATATATTTTTCGATTTAACACAACTATCAACACTCATCAATTCCACCATTAAAATTTGTAGCTTTAAATTTTTTCACTTTTAATTTAAATTTAAAAATAATCTTTTTTTAATAAATATATTGATTCAATATGTATACTAATCATTATTCTAAAATAAAACACCCCAAGACTATGTCATTTTAACAAACCATCTTGAAAAAAAATCAAAACAACCACAAGCCTATTTTAAAAAGATATTATTTTAATATTTTTTTGATAAGATTTTATTAAAATAATGTAATTTTCAAGTAATGTTTTTTTTTCATTAAGAGTTTATGACATGTGGATGACTCAAAGAAGATTAGTGCATTAGATTGACTCACCATGAAAGCACTACATGCACATGTCATTAGTAGTATTTTAGTTATGACATGAATATAAGTGATCTTTTGACTTGAGATCATTATTATTTTATGTGAAAACTAATGTATTTTGATGTTGTTAAAAATAGTTACATTTGCAAGTAATACAATTATTGGGTGAATCATAAATTGCATGAGAATAATGGACAAGTTAAGATAGGATTCATCCTTCTTAAATTAATGGGAGAAGATATTTTTAGGCTCTTTGATTGAGATAAGATTACTTAAAGTCTGTAGCCACAATAGGAATGAAAGAGTTCATTTATTAAGTTAATCTACCTTAGGACATGAAGAAAAAACGTCAAACTTTAAACTTGATGACAAATAGCATGCATTTTGCTTAATTGACATATTAGAGATGAAGGGATTGAATTACATAAATGTCTTGTTATAGGAAGGTTAGTCAAAATCATCAACATTTATATTATCTTGGGTGGCCATGATTTATTACTAGATACCACTCTTAGTCTATGGCCATTACTCATTACCATTGTATGACCCAATCGATAATTGATATTACCTGTTGTGGTCCATCTAGTCTCAGTTTTTAAACACGTTACTAAGGGTTAATGAGCATTAACTTATATACCCATCCTCATTGAGATTTACCCCTATCGCCATTCAAAAGGTCAAAAGGAGTGGCTCTAATACCATATGTAATGACTCAACTCACAATTGATACTTTCTGTTTTGGCCCATTAGGACTTATAGTTTTAAAATGCATCAATAAGGGTTAAAGAGCATAAATTTAGATATCTAACATGTCTTCCATACTTTGTTGGTGTGGAATTTGCATAAGCGTGTTACATATACCCCCTTTTGGGACTTAGCATCCTCACTAAGGTTTACTCCATCACCATTCAAGAGGTCACATAGAGTGGCTTTGATACTATCTGTAACGGCTCAACCCACAAAAATATTGTTTGCTTTAGTCTATTACGTCTCATGATTTTAAAACACTTCAATAGGGGTTAACAAGCATTAATTTAGATACCTAACATCTTTTCCATACTTTGTTAGTGTGGAATTTGCTTAAGGGTGTCACAAGTTAGATATATCCAATCAATTTGATAATTAGTATATATGATCTAAATGGATAAATCATTTATTCTAATGGTTAATTTTTAAAAATATTCGCTAATAACTTAAATAACTCAGTGGTAATTTTTTTTTACTGAGAGCAAAAGATCTTGAGTTTAAGTCGCATAGCATACGATTAGGAAATGCAACTAAGATAAAAATATATATATATATTTATTGGAGAGTGGTGTTTTTAAAGTTGGTACTCTAATATTTTGTAAGAGTTAGGGTTGACATATACTATTATATACATAGCGTTAAAATCAGTTTACAACACAAGACTTACACATAACTCTTACCATTGTTTTGAAACCTAGTTCAAACCAATTGGTTTGAACCAACCAATTCAACTAGTTCAACCAGAACTAGTTTTAAAAATGGGCCTAGTTATGATATTAATCTAGTTTTTAAAAATGGACCTAGTTATGCTATTAGTTTGATGACAATCAAAGCTGGTGAAATTTGATTAAGACCTAGTCAAACTTGCTCAAACCTAGTTGGCTCAAACTAGTTTTTTTTTTTTTTTTTTGAATTTTTTAAAATTTTTAAAATTTATTTATTTTATAGATAATATAATAAAAGATATTGTATATTAATTTCGACTTCCAAAAGAATTAAAGTTTTAACTTTAAACAATCTTATTTTATTTAATTAAAATTCAATTTAAAATTTAGAGATTTACCTCATTAAATGCTAGTACCTGCATGTAGAAACCGATATTCTAATATAAAATTCAAAAATTTACTTTATTAAAGTTGATGCGAGCATTTAAAAATTAATTACATTTTGAATATAAATGTCATAAATCTACCTTATTAAATAGTGCATATTACTTTTTAAATGCATGTATCAACATTTAATAAGATGAATTTTTAATTTGTAAATTAAGTTTTGATTAAATGAAATGACATAATTCAAGGTTATGACTCTAATTTTTTTTTTCAAGTTAAAATTGATATGCACTATTTTTTATAAAATAATTAAATTATAAAATCTATTTAAAGTCAATTACTATTAATAAATGAAAATTTTTAAATTAATTTAAATGTAATTTGAATCAATTTTAAAAAATAAAATTAATTTGAAATTAAATTACTATATGAATTTGGAAAGTAAAATTAACTTAAAATCAAATTAATTTTATTTTGGAAATAAAATAAATGACTAATTTAGTGAACAAAATGAGTGAAATCAATTTAAAATTGGAACTAATCTTTAGCAATTTTGGAAATAAAATCAATAAAAGGAAAAAATAATTTTATAATTAATAAGATATGAATGTTTTAGATGGCTAATAAAGAAAAAAAAATATGTATTTCAATAAATTTAAAATGAAATTAATTTGAAATCAATAAATTTTAAAAATAAAATCTTAAAAAATAGTAATACTATGATTAATAAATGCAAAAATGATTTTAACCAATTTTAAAAATAAAATTAATTAAAGTAAAAAAAAATTAATAAAATAAATTTAATAATATTTATTAATTCAATTGTTTGGACAAGCTAATTCAATTGGACTTAGTGATCAAAATAGGTAGATCATTTAGTCGGGTTTTAAATTATTAACTTTTATACAAAATCTTGAGTATTTATATTTTTATCATGAATGATTGAAATTTATTTATTTTTTATTTTATTTTAAAAATAATTATATTTTTATTTAAAAAATGTTATAAATCTTAATTATTCATAACTTTTTGTAATATTATGCAATAAAAAACTATAACAACTAAAAAGCACAAGTAATTATATTTTTAATGTATCTAAACAAAAACGAACAAAAATCCATCCTTCAGTTCTATAAAAAAAACAAAAAACAAAAAAGCTCTTCCTTATGAAAATTGAATACTAATATATATATATATATATATATTATTCAACATCGTTTTATAAAATATTTATTAAAAAATTATTATTTTTAAATTTAAACTAAAAATAATAAAATTTTAAATTTTAATAACTAAATTAATAAATATATTAAACTAAAAAAATGCATTAATGAATTTCCATAAAAATTTCTTCCCTTTTTTTTCCTTGGTCCCCTTTCACTCAAGTCAAGGGGCAATTTATGTTGTTTGAATTTGCCTATCTCTGCCCCCCACATGCGTCTCCATTCAAACTTTTTTGGTTGGAATGATAATGTCCATTCAAACTCGAGTTTATTTTATTTTATTAAAACAGTGATTGTAATGATTGATACACTTTAAATTATATATATTATTATGATTTAAATTTTTGTGATATAATTCTTTTTCTCTAATTTTTTAATATTAAAAAAAAAACTTGACATCCGACCCTTTGGATCAAGTGGTCTCCGATCACTTGATACATTTCCCCACCCTGAGCAGGGTTCAACCCCGCCTCATGTAATATTGTTTTTAAAAAAAAAATTAAAATAAAAACTTGAGTTGCTTTCTTTTTTCTTTTCTTTTTTTTCTTTTTAAATAGTGAAATTTGAGTTAATTTGAGGTTAAAATAATCTCAGAAAGACAATGACACCCCCTGGGGATGACGCAATGAAAAATGTCCGCACCTCGCCGCCGTACGTCATCAACGATTTATAAGTTTTATACTCACCTCAATAAGTACTATATTTGTTAAATCATATCACAACGACCCAAGACAGCACCCCCAATACATTTTTTATTAATTAAAGTTAAATTGTTTATTGGTTCTTTGAATTTAAGAAGAACAATAATTTAGTCTTTTAATTTCATTTTGTAACAGTTTTTTCCAGATATTTAATGCTTGTAAATCTATGCTGGCATTGTAGTTAATGTCCATTATATAAGGTACTCACCTTTACTGTTAAAATATAAGTTATTAATCGAATTTTTTTACAAATATTTAGGTAATTATTTACTAATATTAATGATAATTAAATTTTTTGCACATAATTTTTGTTAGTAATTTTATTTTGTCAAAAAATAAAATCATAAGACTTAATTAGATGTATTTTAAAACAGATGTATTTTAAAAGCCACTTTAAATCAGTTAAAACACAACACGTCTATGTTTATTTTTTTGTTATTAAATATCACTAAAAGAAAATTATCATTGATCTACTTAAATTGTTGATTTTATTTAATGCTCTTCCTACATGGCACCCAATCAAGCAATCTTGTGTACTATGAGAGGTGAAAATAAATTGAGATAGATATATCTTCTCATTTTTATCAAGAGACAACTTAATCATTTTCTTCGTGTTTATATATATATATGCATATGAATATGCTCTTCTACCACATAATAAAGTCCTATAGTTATGAGAACTTCCGTCTATTTATCCAACTACAGTCAAGAGTGAGTCTAAGGACTAAACTGTTATAAAACTAAATTTAGAAGTTAGAATTAAACAGAATAGCACGTCCCGAAGCTCAGGGACCAAAACAGAGATAGAGAGCGACATAGCTAGCTAGTATACCACCATTTCTCTCTCTTTGAATATTTTAATATTCTGCTATTAAAATCCTCCAATATATGCACTTTGGACATAAAAGGGTTTGGATTAGGTGTTTCCAACATTGTCTAATCACAAAACTTCATTCTACAAAATCAAATCTGAAAGTTTCATTTCATCAAAGCAGATGGGATCTTCCTTCTTTCAGTATCCAAATCAAGAATCCTTCTGCCGGGAGGACAAGCTTCTTCTCATACACACTTGTCTCCCTTTCAACTTCAATGACTCGGAGGAAATGCCTCTGCTTGATGTGCTTGCTGAAGGAGCTACAGACTCCTTCAACTCCAGTGATCCCCCCATAGATTGTGCACTGAGAAAGGAAGAAGGGTTTGATTCTGGGTCCAAGGAGGAAGAACCAAAGAAACAAATATCATACCGAGGTGTTAGAAGGAGGCCGTGGGGGAAATATGCGGCGGAGATAAGGGATTCAACGAGAGATGGTGTTCGGGTATGGCTAGGAACATTTAACAGTCCTGAGGAGGCAGCTCTGGCTTACGATCAGGCGGCATTCACTATGAAAGGGTCCCTTGCCATTCTCAATTTTCCCGTGGAAGTTGTTCGGGAATCGCTTCGAGATATCAAGTACCGGAGAGAGGAGGGTCGCTCGCCGGCGATGACTCTGAAGCTAAAACACTGCATGAGGAGGAGGTTGAGCAAGAGAAAAAGCACGGAGAATGGAGTACGTGGAAAGGACATGGTAGTGCTTGAAGATTTAGGGGCTGAATAATTGGAACAGCTTCTGAAGAGTTCATGTGAAATTAAATACTGAAATAATGGTAATTACTTGCTGAGCTAATATGATCTTATTTGGGGATTACTTTTGGCTTATTTGATTTTCGTTTGGTTTGTGATTTCTTAATTTGGTGAAGTATTGGAAAATTATAATGTAAATTAATGTAACCGTTCCTCAGTTTGCACAAACTAAGAAATTGAATAAAGGAAAATTTTATGAAAAGTTTAGGGAAGTGGTTAATTATTATTAGAGAGTAAAAAGCATGAAGATTAGGGATTCAATTAAAATTAAAAGATAATTAAGAGATGTAGAACATACTATAAGTGATGATTACTTTAGAGAAAAAAAAGGAAAGAAAGAAAGAAAAGGAATTAAAGGTAGAAAAGTTAGCTTCAGATTAACAGTTCTTGTTCCATCAAATGATCATATACTTTTTGTTTCACTAACAAAAAGAAAATTTTAATTTTTTTTTAGTGCAATTAGTACCCTAACGCATTAAATCAGAACTGAACAATGTTCATACATCCAACCGTTAACCTAGAAGCCCATCCATGTATGGTGGAACAAACTCATGCAGCAAACTAACTAATCATTGGCAAAAAAAAAAGATAAACCAATTACATCTTATTAATCTTCTCTGCAGACATTTGAAGGAATGGATACCAATCACTAAATGAAAAATAATCTTTGACTCTGATTGAATGAGCTCCAACATACTCTGATTCACCAAAAAAATGATCTTTGATTGAATGAACTTCAACATACTCTGATTCATCCTCACTTGCCTCTTCTTGAAAATTAATTAATGCATCAAATCATCGTACTTTGAATCAAATAGAGCAAATTGTTGGGGACACAAGGAGGTCGGAGCTCAACACACTAGCCATTGAGTTCATGGGTTTCCACATATTAATTTGTCTTATTCTCATGATATATTTTTTATGTAGAACTTATTACACTCACATGTTAACACTCATTTCTAGGTTAAAAATTAATACCAATAATTAAGAGTCATCTTTATGCACTTAATGTCTCAGATGAGTGGTTTATTCGAATTATCTTACTCAACTCAGTAATTTCTTCACTTTCTATTTTTTATATGTCTTTATTTAAAGTACCTAAATGTGTCTTTGCCGAGATTATTAGGATTAGAGGAGCTTTTTCTTTTCCTTTTTTTGTGGTGAAGCAGGAGAGGAAGATATCTTGGGTAGGATGGGGTATTTGTTTGTTGAGATAAAGATCAGGGAGAGTTAGGAGTGGCTGATGTAGGGGAGAAGACATTGGGGCTTTGATGGTGGAGAAGCTTAGGTGATGGGAAAGAGGGAATATGGAAGGGGGAGATTTGGAAAAAATATTATGGGGGAAGGATTGAGGTTGATATTATTTTTTTATTTCATTGAAATATGCCGTGTGTATATATAGAGTGATATTGTTAGTGTGGTTTAATTAAGAGTCTTGATATGATGTTAGCCAAGGGACTTAAATGGAAAACGGGGGATAGAGGTCTTGTGGATTTGTGGAGAGACAAATGGGTGGGTGATTAATCTTCAAAAAAATTATTTCCAAGGTTATATGCACTTGCTCCAATTAAGGAAGGCTTTAGTGAAGGAGATGGGTTTTTGGCAAGGAGAAAATTGGAGGTGGAAAATTGTTTGAAAGCGTGCTAGTTTTGGGAGGGAGGTGGGTATGGAGAAGCAATTTTGGGAGGTGCTTAGCAAGGTGAATTTAAAGGTGGGTTTATGATTGTAATGGCTCTTATTTTGTGAATGCAGCCTATGGGTTCTTGTCACCTACAAATGTTTTTCTTGATAAAAAAAATGGTGTAGATTAATTTTGTATAAGTATGTTCTATCTAAATTGAGTATATTTGGTGGAGACTATTTCCAAAAAGGTTAGCTATGAAGGAGAAGAGGAGTTTGTCTTAAAGGGTGAGGACTAAGGAGGCTGATTGTGGGTTGTGTAATGGGGCCGTTGAAGAATACATGTAATCATTTGTTTTGTGGATGTAGGGAGACATGGTTGATTTGGATGAAGGTTCTGTTGTGGTGGAGGTTGGAAGGTGTTTTACCAAATAATGTTATGGGTCTGGCAGAGTCTTTTTTGCATGGAATAGGAGGCCCCCGTGGGAAGGATTTTTTAGGGTTTTATATTTATGGTTGTGGCTTGGTATATTTGGTGTTGGAGGACTTCAAAGGTATTTGGAAATGGGATGATTTTGGGGAACATTTATTGGATTCTAAATATACTAAAACATTTAAGAATAAGGAAGTTGTATGTGTGTTCTCTAATTAAATTAGGAATGGGTATCAAAACCTCTGAAGTGTATAGCTCTCACTGTAAAGTTTTGAAGAAATATAAATGGTTATAGGCTGCAAGCCTGCAAATGACTTGAGTATCTGTTTTGGTTAATTTTTTTTTTTTTTTTTTTTTTAGATCTTGCTAGTTTCTATAAAGTTTTCTATGCAATAGAATTTGTATAAGACTATCATTTTGATGTGAAGTATTTCTTATATTCCTTTCTTTAACACATAGTATCACTATGATTTTTTTTTTTTTTTTGACATTGAAAAATTGGGAAAGGGGGAAGTTGCCTAAATAAAACTTAGAACTTAAATGTCTAAACACTGTCCCTCATGGGATGGCCAATTATTCACTTGGTGTGAGATCATAGTCATTATGATTTTGATTAGCTAATAAGAAAAACCAAAAACATGTCAACCCCCAACCCCAACAATCTCCCCCATTCACTTGTCGGACCTGCTCCCCAGCGAGTATAACCGTGTTATTACCCTTGCACCATCGGCTTTAATACCTCCTTAACACAAATGATAAAGTCAAGGTCGTTTGCCTAAAATTGCCAATTTAGAAACATTTCTTTAAATAATTTTAAGCACACATCATTTGCATTTATTCAGTAATCAATACATTAAAGAATTAATTTTTTAATTGCTAATTCTGCAAACTAAATCCTAAACCTACACTACAAGACATATATAGTTGCTAAGATCCAACACTTGATGAAATTAATTTAAGCCCTCCATTCATGCCTTCAATTATCATCTTCAGTAATCAGTACTAAGCGCAGATTTGTTTTCGGCCAGTGTTGCAAAGTAAAAATGCAATATATATGCACTTGGACCTAGTAGCCCGGTGATTTTAAACCTTCTTGAAAGTGCATCCTCCCAACCCTTAGGCCGGGGATCGAACCCCCACCCCCTCATTTGTACCCTGTTCAAAAAAAAAAAAAAATGCAGTATATACACATTAACAGGCTTAGGTGGGTTGATAATATATAGTAAAAATTTTGATTTATGTCAAAAATTCAAGTTCTTATAGGACAGATATAATATTTATCTCTTCTCTCCCAAAATTTTCCTTGTTCAAAAAAAAAAAAAATTCAGTATATAGGTACAAACATAAAATGGATAACTGACTTATGCAGTTTTGGATTTTTTTTTATTAACTTCTTGGTATCCAATAATCATATTGAATTCTGACAAATTTATAATCGAGTTGCGTTGGACTTCATTAAGGAAAAACTTTTCCAATGCCTATTTCTTTATTAACAAAATTTAAATTCAAGATCTTATTTAAAAGAAATCGAATTCTTCCTATTCGAACCAACAAATCATTCATCAATTCTGGGTTATTAACATTGTTGATTGAGGGTTTCCCAGGGTACTGCTTTCAGGGCATAATTTTCCACCGAAATTTGTGGATTGGGATTCTGACAAGGACACTGTAAGATTTCTTTAAACTTAAATGGACGTCACATGGGTGTTTTCAAGATATGAGGATCTTAATTACCTTGGCAAATGGATAATTTACTTAAATTATTCTCAGTACCTAAACGACAAATTAAAATCTAACAGGGAACTAAACCTGCCGGTCATAAATAATGGCAATAATGCATAGCTAAATACACCATAGAAACTGCCAATAGCTATAGACAAATTAAATTAAAATTTATGTATGCACTTATCTCTTGCGATCATATATTAATTCTAAATTCAGTAATATTTCTATCAGGATTTGTTTTATGTTGTCTTATTCGTGTAATTATCTCTTTTGTAAGGACGTGAACGAGGGAATGAAGCGAATGGTGGAGAAGAGTTCTCCGTAATTTAAATAATGATAATATTATAATTATAATATTTTTTTATAATTTTATATAATTTTTAATAAAACATAATATGGCATTAAATAAGTGAATTTTTATAATATTATGAGTAGATTTTAAATAATAAAAATTAATTATATAATGATATATTATATTATATAATTATAATTTTATGTAATATTGTAAATATAATATTTTTTTAAATAAATTATTTAAAAAGTAGTGATATAAAAACGAAAGTTTGGGATAATGATGCAGTATAAAATATATTATTAAATAAATTTATATATAATATTATAAATTTTAATAAAATAAAAAATTAATTATTAAATAATATAAAATTATATTTTAATATTTTAAATGGCGTTAATTTATAAGTACTATTTTAAATTTTACTCCTATAAAATTCGTCTCTTAATCATTGTCCTTCTTCAAAATATCTCAACCTTTTCGACATGGGACACTCTCTCGATCCTTCGTAACCTTTGTGATGTGGGCTCCCAAGGGCCAAGGCCCACCAAATGTGACGAACAACTTGACATATAATAATATTTAAAAATTATGCTTTATTATCTGAATTAAAGTGAATTATAAAATGTAAATTATTTGATAGAGATGACATTTAATATTAGAGATTTTGTCCTTTATTTAAAATAATTGTCATTTTTTAAATATCTTTTAAATTAAAGATTTAAGAACAATTTAATCATTTATTTATCTTATCTTAGAAAAAACTAAAAAATAAAATAAGACGTTCTATGATGGTATATAATTAATTAAAATAAATAAATAATAATAGAGTTAAAATAAAAAAAATAATTAATTTAAGATAAACTTAAAATAAAAAAATAATAATTTTTTAAAATAGAAAGAGTACAAAACAACACTTGATTAATAGTAAATCCAACCTTAATTTTAAGCTCCCAAACAAGTTGTCGACTTTTAGTTTTTAACAGTTGTAAAATTTTTCAAAACTAAAATAAAAAATCACAATTACACTAAACAAAGCATCAGTTGATCACTATTTCTATGATTCAAGTTATAAAAAAAGGGAATCATCAATAAGAATTTGACGAAATTAATACTTATTAATTTAAAAATCTCAATTTAAGATTATTACCAAGATTTAAATCTCCACAATATCAAATAAGTAACCTTTTAAACATTTCAAAAAAATATTATAAAAAAAGAAGTTTGCCTTGTGGTGGAGCTAGCAGACACCTTCACAAACCCGCTCCTATCTAGATTAGAGTTGTTAAAAAGGAGCTACGCAGACCCTCTTCATTTTCTTTCTTCAGGTTAGTGTTAAGGAATTCATGTTTTCCCATCTAAATTGTATGATAAAAATATAATTCACTTTATAAATTTATTAAAATATTTTTAATAAAATTATTTTTTTATATTATTTATATTTTAATAAATTCATAAAACAGACTATATTTTTAATATACAATAATCTACTCTGTAGAGGTTTCGAAATTTGAAGACACTAGCTAGGCTTTAAAAATTTTGTGGACGTTTTTCTACTTCAGGGTGACGGCTGAATCTCTTACAAACATTAACTGCAAGAATGTTAAACAAGATGGTACATTTTATACTAGCTACAGAAGTATAGCAAAAATTAGGTCACAGGAAATTCTACTAGATGCATAAATTCTGTTTCTTCATTTCTCTATGAACAGCAATCTCATAGGTTACAGGAGTACCATTCTTCACTTCTTGCAGTTTACTTTATCTGCATCTCATAGATGCATCATCTTCAGGCACTTAGCAACATAGACACAATGGATGAAAGCTTGAATTTGCGGACTTTGGAGGAATTCTCAGGCTGAAATATGACCTCAGTACTTGATCTGACAGTTACTTCTTTCGATTCAGAACTTGAAGTCCCTTCACTACGATAATCGCGAGGAAAATACAATACTTGAAGCTTTGAAGGGGCTGCAATTAACATTGAAATTCAAGAAAGATATTAGAAGATGGTAACAATATTACAATGGGAGGTAAATGCATGCAGGCGTATGCACATGATGTACTATTGACTAGCACTAAGATGGATAGGCATCATGCCAGATGCAGCTATAGCTTTCCAGGGGCCTCATATTTACTCGTACCCAACTCTTCCAGTTTTCTCATAGATTTCGGAGAGCAAGAAGAGGGATGCAGAGATGGTTGAACTTCCACCAGCATACCGTAAGTTGTGAACATCCATCATTGTTAAATGGATTTTCCTTAATATTCATTTTTCCTTTTAGGATACATAAGAATAATTTTTAAATCAATACATGTTGCAGTCAACTGTTAATTCTGCACCTGCTAGAGATCAAACTCACTAATTAGGCTCACCTTTTAGGTTGAGTACTTCTTCAAATTAGTTTAAAGCCTCTTAACCTAATGTTTTGAGTCTTGCCTGTTCTTAACACTTCAATTTCAGCACAAAATGTAAGGTGTTCTTCACTCTTCAGACTTCTTACTTATCCCATGGATTCAAGCCCAATGAACTTATGAATGAATGAAACATGTTAGAACTACAATATCTTCAATTTAAGTGGTTCTCTAAAACTTCTCTTATCTAATGGTTTATATCTGAATTCTAGACACCATTATACTTATAGTTAAAATGTTCAGAATAAAGAGATTGAACCGTGCTTAGTCAAAGAGATTGAACTGTGCTTAGTCAGCACTTTCAAGACAAACAGACATGCTTCTTGTTATTAGAGAACGTATTAGAAATAAAAACCTATTTTTGTTCATCTATTAGTTTAAACTTTTAGATGAGTCATTCTCTAAGAACATTTTTTGCATCAAGAACAAAATTTAGCAATGATTTTGATATTAGAACTAGCCACGTCTAATCCAATCATAGACAATCAATATTCCTATATTTATCTAGTCAACTGATATTTGATATAAAGATAATTTTGAGGCCTTAAAATCTCAAATGATTAGATATCTTAAAACAAAAAAGGCAAAAATGCCATAAAACAAGCACAGGTGTAAGAAACTTTGGAACATTACCTAACCCAAACATACTAGTCTTTTGGATGACCAGGCGACTAACTTTTGATCTTTTGATATTTCTCAATGCCATTGTATCTTCCTGCTTCCCTTTAAATTCAAGAAATTCTCCAAGGACATATTTATTACCCTTAAGCTCCAACCTGCAAACAAGACACAATTAATATTTTTCCATCAATAATTATGTAACATGCATATATTGTACAAACCCAGATTTTTCAGATTTTGGTAATAAAATTGTCATTTTCCTAAAAAATATAATTATGTAACACGGGAAAACAATGCTCAAATCAGACAACCAATAAACTTCTATACATTATGGTTGCAAACAAGGAGGCTAAGAGTACCAGGCCAACTTCATGTAGCAAATATCCAACACCTAATTAAAATTTTATGAGTCACAGCATGTGATGGTGCAAGTTGTATAATGTTGTATTACCCAATTAGAGGGTATGATTCCAATTGGGTATTTGGCCCATACAACATGCACCATGTCATGGGATTATAGACCCTAACATGGAGCATGCTATACAGCATCAGAACAGTAATCAAACACAATACTTAATAGTTAGCTGAAAGCAATCATCCTAATTTTCATATGAAACCCAAGATAACTGGGTCAATTAACATGCCCCAGTTACAATTTTCGTTAATCAGTGCAGGTTTTTATTGCATTTCCCACCCATCCAGCGTTGATCTCTCACACTCCTTGGTCCCTGATTTACAAAAAGTTAATTCTTCAAAAGCATTTTTCTCCATTAAATATACAAAAGCTTTGGCTAACCATCATATAAATCATAACTCATAACACCTGGAATAAGAAGAGGTACATTTCTGGCTGATAATAAGATCAAAGAATTTACAAGGAAGAAATTGGTCCACATTGATGCCCAAGGTTAATCGCCGACTGTAAATTCAACAATGCAGAACTATGAACTAAAGCACTCCTATTAATTTAACCACTTGTCTAATATAAGCATAAATTTCTAAACTAATTTCTTTTCATTTATGCAACCCAAATACCCAATTAGAGGTCTATAATCCCAGCAATTTTAGGGCCTTCTAAAGATTATAAATACTACTGACCAAACTATAATATTGGGAACAGAAAGGATAGTCATATAACTACAGTAACATCTTTCAGCAACAACTAGGAACAAACCTATCCCACATAGGAGCTGTGCCAAGAACAAAATTAAGTGTCTGGTGTATAGATTCCTGCATCTCTTTCTTCCCACCAGAAAAGGCACCCTTTATCCATCCAGAAAACAAACTTTTTGGTTCTGGTTTTAGTTGTGCCCATTTATCATATGTGATGACCTCAGAGGGAAAACTGTCAGGATAAATGGTACTGCAAGAATAAACAAAATCCAGATTAAAATTTCAAAACAAATGAGTAGAAAAAGTTGGTGAAAACTAATTGCAACTTTGCTAAGTCTACTAAATCTGATTCTGATCTCATACAAACTATATTTTCCCCACCTGCTTTAGCTTTCTTATGTTATTTCTTAAAACCAAGGTTTTTCATGCATCAATCATTTGCATGCAAAGCCTTTGAACCATGCTCAAATCCAAAAATGGAAAAAAGGAAGAAATGGAGCCGGAGGCTGAATAAAAGAATAAAAGAAAGAAAACAAATTCATCTTCTGGAAGTCCTTGCATGAATCTAAATTTGTAAATAATTTTGGATAGAACACACATTTTCTATCTTTCTTTACAATTATGGCTCATTCTTAACATTTTCTGCCAAAATATCTTTACCATGGTGATGACAAGTCAGTAATCATTTCCTGAAGGGACACTGTCAGGAGAATCAAAGTGCTATGTACATTATATTGGTTATAAATACTATTATTGCTCCAGTTCTGGATGTTACTTTCCAGATAGTTAGTGCCATAACCATGAAAAATGGATGCTTATCAATATCCATAAGTTAGGAACCCTTAACTCCTAAAAGTCAACCCTTTCCAGTCTCCTCTAACATGCAGAATAAATGTGCAATAAAGCCATATTAAGCAAAGACGTACAAATCATTGGTAATTTAAGCACAGACCACAAATTACAACACAAACATAAACCCTATGAAAGATATACAAGTCTGTCAGTTAGCAAAATACCAGAACAGATAAGTGAATCAACACATAGCTACAGAAAATTGAATACTACCGGAATTTTGGATTGGAAAGTATAACTTTGTAAGAAAAACATCCTTCTGGCAAAGCAACTCCCCTTTCAACTCCCCTTTGTTCAAGATATGATTCAAGCACTGAAGCTTGTTTTTTAACCTCTACAATCTGCGATAACAGTTATTTAAAAATTAAAGATCAAATGTGGGCCAAAAGCAACTAATAATCTGCATTCCTCAATCCTTAATAATATGGCAATCCTAAAGATTTCCAAAGGAAATGTAATTTATGTGCTTAGCATTCTTTGAGACAAGTTTGCTGTCCAATACTAGACTAGGGTTCCCATGTCTTGACATGTTGCATGAATTACGTTTCCCTCGTATTCACATGCCTCTGAAATTGAATACATAAAAAGGGAAATGCAGCCATTCTCAATGTATGGGAATAAATTTTAAATGAAATTGAAAGCAATTTTTTTATGCATTGATTCCATAAAGTTATTCGGTGCAGTTGATTCATCAACTATTTAAACAAAACTTCATTACAGACCTCAACAAGGTCAGTGAGTAATTTTAGGAAAGAACTTTTTGAGTCATGAAGAAGAAAGTGAATTACATTTTTATACAGTTTCTAAAGCATTAAATGAAACAGTTCTTTTGTGTTCTACACAATTCTCTTATCTATGAAATCTCAGGATGCTTTGAAACAGAATAATTATTTTTCCTCACATCCTGAGTTCCTGACATTCCATGTAAACATGGAAAGTACATACCAATGGTTGAGCTTCAACCCAGCATACTAAGTACCCAAACAGATAACAAAAGTAATTTCAATGTTGGACAGTTAGAGAAAATTGGATGGGTGAAAACAGCACTTTCATGCATTTGAGCACATGCTGCACATGCATTAATCAACATGAAGAAGGAAGCTACGTATAACCAACAGGGTTACAGAAGACATCCTTCTCTCAATAAATGTACTACTAAAAAGAAATGGCACATTGAATCACTACAGAAACATACATTATAATGACTATCACTTACTGGATCAGGGTAACGCTCGGCTCTGTGTCTACCCTCATGTTCACAAACCCAGCTGCCATCTCCACTAACAGACACAATTCCTGATAAATTCTTGACCGAAATCACCACTGCCTCCCTGCTAATGTGCATTATAGTTTAAATAAAACAAAAAACGAAAAGAAGAATGACCATATAAAAGAAATTTTACTTATTACATAATAGCATCTTTTGACTCTAAAAGATTTGGAATTTTGGATGAAAATAAAAAAGCCTCAAAACATTAACATCCTCTGTTCTATCATGATTTCCATCTTCTTGTATCACTCATACAAGCCAAGTACCAATAACATGTTGTCACAGAAAGCAATTAGATAGTAGAATGTGCTACAACTTAAACAAATTTACATTCAGGAAGTAGACATGATTTACCTTTTGGTGACAAGAACCATATCGATTGTCTGTCGAGAACCAGTGTCAGGATCTGGAATTCGAAGCCCAACATATGCCTTTCCCCCATAAAGCTTTTCAAGTCTAGAGTGAATTTCACAAGATTAGCGAACAGCAAAGATCCAACAATCTTTTAAGTAGCTAAGAAAACAAAATGAAAATTAATCACTAAGGGAATCATGCCAATTACTGCTCTGTTGTACTTGATTCTTAAGATTATTCATTAAAATTCTTGCCAATCAGATATAGAAATCAACTCAACTGATAGTCTACTTCATTACTAAAAAAGAAAAATTCAGAAAAGACCTTTCGAAAAGAAAACAGACAGGAAAAATCTTTAGTAAACAATACATTAAAAAATACTAATCTTTCATTTTTCCATTATATAATTTTCTCAGCAATCAAACAAACTGAAACACCAAAAATCAGCTTAATTGATCATAGAAGTGAATTGATGTACAAAGATGATGAAATTTCCACTTACTCATGCTGCAAAGAACAAGGAAAACTACATGACCAATTCATAGAATATATTCCAAAAACGAAAAAATGATGAAAGCAGTACCTATTGGCTACAGAGAAAAGAGCATTCGAATCTGAGGTTTCGACCTCCAGAACGTCATCGTCATAGAAGAAGCGCCGGAACAATCGATAGATTACCAGACCGCAGAGGATCTCCACCCACATGGTGAACTTGTTACCGTTTGGCTGACGAGAAAATTCCTGATTTTGCCGGAAAACTTACGATGGAATTAAACTGAAGCGAAGGAAAGAGAAAAAGTTTTTTTTTTTTTCTAAGTAATTCTTTTTTGGTTAATGTTCTCGCTTGCGATTGGCATGCAATAAGTAGGGACAAAAGCGGCGACGTATCATTAACGGGCGAAGAGGAGACCTAGAGGAAACTTAGCCGCGTAAAATTGTTTATGCAAGCAAGAGTAGATGTATTTGGATACTATTTTTATATATTTTTTAATTAGGGAAGAAGAAAAATTAGAATGTATTTAATTATAATTATTAAATATGTAAAGTATAGTATGAACCATAATTTTATTAAATTTATCATGCCACTAATATTATATATCTTAATTTTTTCTTTGTTTAGTTGAAAAATGAAAAAATGTGTAAAAAAAGTTAAAGGATGAAATTTATTCAAAATTGAAAGTTAAGGGACCAAATTTGACATTTAACTTAAGTAAAAAAATGACTATTACTTAGGACAAAAGGATTAATAAGCAAGATATATAAGAGTTGTATTCTAGATTCTTTAATTTAATGACTGTTGCTAGGGAAAAAAATGCTATATATATGGGTATATTTATCTCAAATCTATAATTATTTTATTTTATTTTATTTTGGACGAACAAAATGTTTTAAGTACTTTGATATCAAGGGTCATCAACAGTGACTATAACAACTCGTTATGGCTACTATGAAAAATATCAATAGTGTAGCGGAAAACGTATAACAAGTGTTATTTCTATTATAGCGGCCATTATTTTCTATAGAAGATAGTAGTTACAGTGGATGTTATTTACTTATTTTAGAAAATGTTTGACTTAACCCAAAATTAGAAAATTAGGTTAATATTTTGAAGTTTATTTTTGTCCTTTTGACTTCTCCATTTATTTTACAAAAAAAAAAAAAAAAGAAAGTAAAAACTTTGAAAACAACAACACTCTGTGACTTTAGACAATTCTTAAAAATAAAAATCATAACTCCATTTTCTCAAATCTCTGATATCTTGCACCCATTCTTGCTCTTCTCTCAAATCTCACCCTTTGTCAATCTTTTTTCACCCATATGTCACTAATCACATGACTCTAATCTTTTCCGATCTCAAACCCACAATTGAGTCTCGACAATTAGTAACTCTTCTCAATCATCCATCTACTTTGTTTGACCCTCAACCTTTAGAATTTTAGTCCCAAACATTCTAACTCCTACCACAAGCACTAGATTTGATGCATTTTATACTATTCCTAGAGTTAGTGAAGACGTGCCTACTTTAGATTCTAAAAGTTAAATGAGGAAGAGGAGGGATTTTGAACCTGGTGATAAAGTTCAAAAAGACAAGGTTGATGATGATTTGGAGGCAAAACTAGAGGAATTGAAGTTGAAGAAAGTGATGAGGATTATTAGATAGTTTTGGATGATTGCTTCTTTCAAAGTTTTATTGTCTTATCTTGCAACTTTTGAACTCTTAAGTTTGTTTTATTGCCTTGTTTGTTATTATGAGCTATGATTTTAGTTTGTTGAGACATGAAAATATTGTTATGTATGATTTTTGATAATTTTTTTAAGCTATTAGATTGTTTTATTCATTTTCTTTACTAGCTTTATCTCTTATTTTGTTTGTTAAACATATATTTTTGGTTTTTTTAATGGCCACTATTTGTTAAAAGTGGCTGCTTCGTTATCTGTTATGCTATCATAACGGATTTTGGCCCTTTTTGCTATTTTCATTATTCACTATAAGTAATAATGTTTGAGATTAATTTCTCTCCAAAAGATTTTAAAGATGTACCCCACATTATTTAAGTGCATTTTCTTAAAAGCTTGCTTTTGGTTTGGCAGTTTCCTGGAAATTGCTTTCAAGAAAGCCAAGTCCAAATTAAGGTGTGTTTGATTCATTTTATAGTATTTTCCCCCATTTAAGAAATTTAAGGGGTATTTGGGTATTTATACACCTAAAGATTATAACAAATAAATGTTCAAACTAATATTTTTAATTTTTATTTTTCTTCACACAATTTTCAATAAATAAACTTTTCTTTCTATTTTTGAAGTAAAAAAGATTCTCTCAACTTTCCTCACGTAAAATCCACCTACCAACTTTTCTCTCAACTTTCTCAAATCAATTTCTTAACAACACACAAGAAATGTTTACAACTTAACAAAGTTTTAGCATGACTTTATTAACTTTTCATACAATATTTTCCCAGGTAGTTTATGCCTCTTTAACCAAACAAACCATAAATTATCTGAGTGTAGGCCCTTGTTTTGAATTTTGTATCTGGAAATTGATTTGTTGTTGTATGTTGTAACCGTTTGTGGGGGCATATATAACCAACTATAATGAAACATGAAATAAAAACATAACTTGTTATTTGAAATGTTAACCGGTCATGGACCAAGGAAGAAGTTTCCAGGCTTGTTGTCATGTAACCAATTAACAACAACCTTTCAGCCTGGATTTCTCAAAAACAATCTTTTATCCTGAAAATTTATTTTCTCAGCAGATCCAAGCAAAATTGTGGCTTGGCTTGGCTTGTCTAGGAACAATTTTTGGAGAAATTTTCAAACCAAACACACCTTTAGTGGTAGGCCTTCAAACTTAGACCTTGAATTTAACTCATAAAATAGTGCTTACTTAAATTCCATTTTTTCTTTATTAATTTAAGATATGGATCTCGATCCAGTGATATGGTTGGCTATAGCAAAAAGGGCCATTGAAATTATGTCATGAAAAATGACCAATCAACTAAAATGCTGCCTGTTAACCTAATCCCTAATCTTCAAACCAACAAACTTTGGGTGATTAGAACCCCACGTCTCAAGAGACCATTGAAGACTCTATTGCAACAACATATCAGTCGCTGAATAAACCAAAACTTCACTTAAAGGATGGGGATGAGCTGTCTGTTGTTTGCTTATTTACTCCAACAACATAACATGTTCTCTGTCAAAATGGCACAACTACTGGAATAACAGCTTCCTGCAATGATTTAAGTTGTGGTCTGATAATCACATTCCAATGGAAGTAAACTATGAGTTTTTAACTCTTATGCACATGAATGGAATGCATATAGGGATGGCTTTGCATGCAACTTCAAATAAAAAAACAAGACACTTATTTAGAGGTCAATTTTTTTTTTAGATTTTTCTAAAAACACAAATTAAGAATTCATTAATAACACTTTTATTATTATAAAAAAGATAAGTTTATTTTAATTTTATCAACTATATACTTAAAAACATGCACGTGTTTTTTTTCATTTTTTTACACAAATTAATGTAAAAAACATATAATTAATGCCCTTTTAGGTACAAGTTACTCGTTAATAAACTTTTAACCGCCCTAGGAGCACTAACAGTCAAACACTGAAGCAACTTAGCAGTGCCGTTACACTGCCACGCGAGGAAAACAAGATAATGGGATTATCTCATTCTTCTTGGGAATGGAAGGTGCATGCTCCCTTCAAACACAGCATTAAACAGTAAACAGCCTTTCATTTGTGTGACAATTTTCTCCCAATTTTTGTCTACTTCAAAGCAAGCAATTTTGCTTCCATCTGCATGAGGTAGAAATGTGAAGGGCTATAAAAAACTTTTCAGGTAGGGGACAATTGAGAGCACTTGAAAGTGTGAACTAGATTATGATCAAACACGGCCAAAAACAGCAATTGCATTTCAAACACAGAAGTGGCTAAACTTGGTGTTAATGGATCAGAAGTCAGATGAAATTCCCCAGATTTTTGGCACCACTATAATTTCCCTTTGTAAAATATAGAGAAAGCACATTAACAAACACAATTTAAGTCATCACTCCTTTTCCATGAATTTTAGACATGAAGGACAAGCAATAAGAAAAAATCAAAAATAAAAAAAAAAAAAAATCTCCATCACATACAGGGTACTCTCCAACATGGAGAATCACATTAAAAAAAATTTAAACGAAAGCAAGAAAGAAACTAATCATGATACAAACCTCTTCAACTTTAAACCTACTGGGAACATTAGATGCAAAACAGACAAGCAAACACATTCAGCTGCAAGATAGTATCCAATATACCTGCTCCATACTAGGGCTTAGTAAGGTCATTGCTGATTTCTTGTCTATTTCTGGTTGCTAGTTCCTTTCTTCTTGAGAAGGCTTCCAAACTTACGGAGCAATGGCTTTTTCTTCTTGTGCTGTTGCTGCTTGGATGGTGAGTTTCCTCCATCATCAACATTTTCTGTTGATCCATTTACCTGATCAAAGCTTTCACCACCATCCACCTTTGAGTCCGCTTCCTCTTCAAAAGATTCTTGCTCGGGTTCTCTTTCTGGTGAACACTCTTTCTTTTCAATCTTGCAGCTCTCCCACATCTTAAATTCAACTTCAACTGAATCATCCTCTTTTTCTTTCACCTCATCTTCCTTCGGTTTTCCATTCACAATCTCAACTTTGGCATCAGCCGCTTGAACAGCCTGCTCCTTGAAGCCATTTTCCTCAGAATTTTCCTTTTTGGGTTCCTCAAATTGTTGTGATTGGAATTCAATTTTGGGCTTCTCTTCTCCACCGTGTCCATTCTCTTCAGAGAATTCAACAACCTTAGGCAGCAGATCATAGTCCTTCTCACTATCTGATAGCTCGCCATTTTCCTCGCTTTGCTTTTTGGTCATAGCTTCTTCTAACAGCTTAGACAACTCCTCAATTTTCCTAAGAGAAGCATCTTCCCTAGCTTGGAGTTCCTCATTCTCTTGAATGACACTCTGCAGCTCAGTTTCTTTATCCATCAAAGACTCTTTCAATTTCATGCTCTCAGTCTTTGCCTCTTTAAGAGCTTCTTGCAGATCAATCACCTCAGATTCAACTTCCTTTAAGCTCTCCTTCAGCTGAGCTTCTTCCTCCTTTGAAGCAGTAACTTCTTCCTCAGACTGTTTCAACAAATTTACCAGCCTGTTAATTTCTTTCCCCATAGAAGAGTTTTCTTCTTCTGATTTTTTGACACAGTCCATAAAATGCAGTTCCCTTTGCTCCCAATCAGCCTTGGAGTTCTCAAATTCATTATTGGACTGCTCAATGGTACTTGTAAGAAGATCAATCTCATGTTTTGCATCATCAAGCATGGTTTCGTACTTCTCATTTGTTGCTTTGAGGACCAATTTTAAATCTTCTAACTGAGTCTCATAATGTTCATGCTCTTCTTGACTGGACAAGAGCTTTTCTTTGACCTCCCTTGCTTCTGCAGACACTTCATGCAAAGCTGAAGCTAAGCTTTCCATTGCTTTCTTGCATTTCTCTTCTTCTTCCTTAGAATTCTCTAAATCATTAATGAGTTTGTTTTTCTCCTCAAGCAGGGTCTGAACACTAGAAGCTGCAAGCTTCTCGTTGTTCAAAGCTTGGATCTTTTCTTCCTTTACTGTTTCTAACTCTGACCTCAAAGACTTGATCAATTCTGCCATTTTTGCAGTTTCTTCTTTAGCCATATCAACCTGATGTTCTGATTCCTCAAGATCCCCTTTTTGTCTACTAATTGTCATTTCCAATAACCCCACCTTCTCCTTAAGAGCAGCAATCTCAGATTCTGCATCATGTAACAAATCATTGTTGTCCTCCAGTTGCTTCATGACAGACACCAAAGATTCTGAAGCAGATCTTTCCAATTTCTCTGCTGCCTCAACCTGCATTTCTAATTCTTCAACTCTATTTTTACATTCCTCTACAACATTACGAGCATAAGATTCAGCCATCTGGGCAGCTTCTAGATCCACATTAAGTTGTTCAATGAAAGCCTCTCTTTCAATCAACTTCTCTTCAAAACATTTTGCTTTCTCCAGCTCTTGTTTCAAAGATTCTATCTCTCCCTTAAGCTTCAATACCATCTCCTTATATTCACTTGCTTCCGTCTCATGCTTTGAATCAAGCAAGGCCTTCAACCGAGACAACTCAGCAGAAAGGATTTCTACCTTTTCAGCATGGATTTCAGCAATCTTAGTTGCATCATCAGCATGGTTCAGAGCCTGGTTCTTAGCATCACATGTCATGGCTAGCTCCTGCTTCACTTTTTGCAGCTCCTGAGTGGTAGAGAGAAGAGCAGCAACGTCCAAAGCATGCTGGTTCCTCACAGCTTCAATTTCTCTCTGCCATTCCTCTTCCTTCTTCTGTGCAGCCTCAATTCCAGCTTGTTCCAACTCAACAGCCCGGAACTTCTCAATCTCCGAGTTCTCTTCAGCTCGCTTTTGTGCAACCAAGGCCTCTCTAAGCTTTTCATTCGCTTCATCGGCCACTTTCTGTGCTTCTTTCAGCTCTGCAAGTGCGTTTGTCTTCTCCTTCTCAATTAATGCAATCTGCTCCTTTGCTTTCTTTAAATCTTCCTGAACCAGATTGAGTTGAGCCTGAAGTTCAGCTCCCTTACCCAGTCGTGTCAGTGGCCTCTGAAAACCAAAACAAGCAAAAAGTGCAGCAAAAACTAAAATCATTATTTCATAATAGAAGCAGGAAGTTTGTTTTGGTTCTTTTCTAAAACTGGGGTAAATTTAAAAAATCCAAGAAAAGAAAATGTCCATAGACCACATTTAAAACTCCAGGATGTTTTCCCATCTTAAAAGTTAAAACAGGTGTAAAAATAGTTCCCAAAACAACAGATTGTCCAGGTATGACATGGAGAAGCTTCCAATGCTTTGGCATTTTCTTTATTACCTCTGGCCTAATCAGTAAATAGCGATGCCTGCAGAATTTTCCCTTTTTAATCTGACCGTTTGAGGTTAGGGGTCCAAAATTTGCATCTTTGTAACCAGAACCAAGCATATCTGGAAATGTTAAAGATTCAAAATGGTAATATTCCATGGGCATTAGCTGGAACTTACTTCAGGTGGTGTGGCAACCTTTGGTGATGAGGTGACAACCTTTGGTGATCTACGATCAATTGCTGGCTTTGAGTTAATGGATCTTGGGGATCTATCAACAGAAAGCCGTGAGCTTGGCAGGGGAGAGGCTGAATCAGGTTCTGATTTAGCAACTCCCTTGCTCAGTTTGCTAGTGACTTTGGGAGTTGCTGGTGAAGGCTTGCTAGGAGTTTCAGATAAACTGGATCTGCAACAGAATGCAAAGTGACAAAATTTGAGTAAAAGATCACAAACCCCGTTATCAACATAGAAGGAAATCCATGATAACAAAAATCCATGTGAGAATAGAGGAAACAAAATTATAGATGGATATATGCCAAATATGGATGCTTCTGCATAAATTTAATTACCAGTAGTTCAGAACAAGATAAACAACCACATCCATACACATAGTACATATTATACCTGGAAAAAAATCTATGAACAGTACTAGGAAATCAAGGAAAAATATTTTAAGAAAAATACATCCAAAGACATAGAAAATTGAATAAGATCCACTTGCAAATGAGAATCAAAACCCAAAATTAATCAAAAAATGTAAACTTAGAAAGAAAAAGTAAGAGTGACGTAGTGAGACTCAGCATTTTTTTTGGCCGAAATAGTGAGACTCAGCATACACACCAAAATCAAAACGAGAAACACAAAAATCCCCAAAAAGAGACAGATCCAATAACAAAACAACAAATTTCAAAATCAAGAACAAAACCCCAGAATTTGGGATAAAGTTATCAAATTTTCCTTGATGAATGGAACATAATTCAAAATAAAAAGACTCCAAGTTGAGAGAATCACAAAAAACAAGCAACCCACCAAAGGAAACGAAAAACCCAAGTCAGATCTAGACCCAAATAAAAAAATTTGAGAGAGAGTTAGTGTACTTACTTAGATTTAGCAGACATGGTGGTGATGGGAAGAGGCAGATACTGATGTTGTTGCTTGCTGCTGTGACAGAAATAGAGAAAGAGAGGAACTTGAAGAAGCGCTATAATAAATGAAGAAAGGGGTACTGCTAAAGTGCTGACATTGTGTAAGAGAATGTAATGCAATGTAAAGGATGGATTTTTCTTTCTGTTTCCTGGTTTTCCAGATCAAGAAGAAGAATTTACAGAATATCAGCAAACCAAATAATTGGGGATGGTATTTCTGTCTAGAGAGTGGACACCCCAAGAAACTACTTCACCTTGTACAATCTCTCTCTTCCTCCATTTGTTTTTAACTGCACTTTTCCTGTATGAGGTGGGGGGAGGTATGCAATTACAAAAGTGCCCCTGGTTGTTTCTTCTTGTCTCCAGGATATTGTAACTTTTTCTAACGATTCTGTAAAATTCTACGAGCCAAGCCCTACTTTTCAGGAAAGGAGACTGTACCTCCTGACTGTTTCAGGAATGGGGTCTGTGCCCACCCTATTTTGAATTTCTTCTCAGTTCTTTCTATCTTTTGCTTTAAAAAAGTAATAGAAGTGATGAGTTTACATGTAAATATATATACATGTTTTATATGGTAAGTTATGTATTAAAAATATAAATTATTTTATAAATAAAAGATAAATTATATTTTCACATACCAAAACATCCATCAAATTATTCATTACATCAACTCTAAGCTAAGATTTACATGATTGAGGGTTTTACGGAAGTCTTGATTTCTTGATTTTTAATTGGCTTCGTATTTTTAATATACATAATTCTTTATATGTATTTGGCCAAAAAAACTCAGTACACTTTTTTTTTTTTTTTTGCTTTGGGTTTTGCAATTGGTGTTTCTCGATTATGTTACACTTGCTAATATCTTTCGGGGTAATTTTAAGGCTATACTCATATTGCATATATCTAAAGAAATTAAATTTTGATAAATATTAGATTCAAGACTTGAATTTTTTTTATATTAATTGTATAATAAGAGGTAGTCCTCTCTTTTATCTCTTATCCTATTCACATATTATGTGATTTAAATTTAAGATTTTTTATTTTCAGTAAAATAAAATTACTTCTAAATTATTTAAAGTGTTGATAAATTCAAGACTTGAATTTTTTTATATTAATTATATAATAAGAGGTAGTCCTCTCTCTCATCTCTTATCCTATTCACATATTATGTGATTTAAATTTATGATTTTTTATTTTCAGTAAAATGAAATTACTTCTAAATTATTTAAAATGTTAATAAATTCAAGACTTGAATTATATGAATTGATCTTATAAGATGAAACTTACCAGATCTAATATGGGTTTTTATTTCCCCTAATACTTTAGGGTTAAAAATGAATTTACATTAAAGGGTTGTTTTGCAGAGTTCTTTCTTTTGAGTTACTTGTAAGTAAACTTTTCATGTTTTAAGCTTGAAAAAAGTTAGGAGAGTTCTTTTTTTAAGTTTCTTGAAAGTAAACATTTCATGTTTTAAGTTCGGAAAAAAATTAAGAGAGAACTTTTTTTCATAAAGGGTTTTTTTTTTTAATTTATGTTCTTTTAAAGTTTTTTTTTGGCATTAATTATTATTGAAAAATAAAACTTATATTTATTTAATTAATTATCCAATTAAAATAATTCAGGTAACATTTGTAACAAATTAAATTTAGCTTTTGTCATTTTTAGTATCAATTAACTTAAAAAAATATATTAATTACACCTAAGGATATATGTTAAAAAAAAATCCTTTTAAGATATAAATTAGATAATCCTTTTATTAAATGCTTATAAAGAGTTTTGCAAAAAATAAGGACCCATTGCTTTTTACAAAACTAACTTATAACCCCTTTCTTTTTCTTTCCAAAAAATCAAGCTTGTATTCAAAAAAAAAAAAA